ACTAGACACAAGAACATTTTTTCCCAAACACCATCACTCTGCTAAACAAATAATTCCCTCAACACTGTCCAACTATTTACAAAGTCTGCATTACTATTACTATTAATCTTCTCATCGCTCCTTATCGCTCCTCCCCTCCCACTTGTGACTATATGACTGTAACTTTGTTGTTTGTATCCTTACGATCTATATTGACTGTTTCCTACTATGATTTGATTGCTTATTGTATTCTATAACTATTATTAAGTGTTGTACCTTATGATTCTTGACTTTTGATGAATATATCTTCTATGTATACTGAAAGCATTTGGACCAAGACAAATTCCTTGTGTGTCCAATCACACTTGGCCAATAAAGAATTCTATTCTATAAGTCTTTGTGTTTGTGTACATATGGTAAAACAATGATTATCATTTTTAAATCAGAAAAATGTAGCTCACTAACAGAATTTTAGGAAATATTGAGCTAAACAAAAATGGGGGAAAACCAAATTGTGAAAATAGTAAGATAGTATGATAAAGGAAATTCATAAACTGCATGAACTGATATTCAGTGAAATACAGGTTTCAGCTTTACAGACCATCCAGTTATACCGTAAGATTTATACAGATCACGGTTGATAAGTTTACATGTTTTGCTGAGCCATGGTTTGTTTTAATAATAAGGCACACATTTGGGTTTCTCATCATTCTAAGTGAACTCTAGTCATCAGCAAATCACAATTAAAATAAATTATAGCTTAACACGAAGTGTAAACTATACTTCTAAAAATGTCAGGCCCCCAAACCAGGGAAGACACATAATTCTTTCAACCTCTGTTTTTTATTGATCCAGACAGAATCTTGCCAAACTGAAGCACTAAACTACCTGCATCTACTGGTACCATATACTTTGAAAACTATTAGAGAGGGGTTGTCTTCACCCTCTTCCACTAACACGAAGTATTTACACTGACATGCCCTTATTCTTCTGGAATGCATCTGCGCCCTCCTGGGAATCCAGCCTACTATAAACCACCAAAGAAAGATTTCAGGGGAAAAAATCAGGTTTAAATCAGTTAAGATATTAATGTTCATTTTAACAGTGGGATGTAAATGTAGGCTTTCACTCTTTAAAAGCTATTAAAGGTATCTAAGATAGAATACCTGGTTCAAGAGTTTTGCAAGTATATACACTGCTCAAAACAATAAAGGGATCACTTAAACAACACAATGTAACTCCAAGTCAATCACACTTCTGTGAAATCAAACTGTCCACTTAGGTAGCAACACTGATTGACAATCAATTTCACATGCTGTTGTGCAAATGGAATAGACAACAGGTGGAAAGCATAGGCAGTTAGCAAGACATCCCCAATAAAGGAGTGGTTCTGCCGGTGGTGACCACAGACCACTTCTCAGTTCCTATGCTTTCTGGCTGATGGTTTGGTCACTTTTGAATACTGGCGGTGCTGTCACTCTAGTGGTAGCATGAGACGGAGTCTACAACCCACACAAGTGGCTCAGGTAGTGCAGCTCATCCAGGATGGCACATCAATGCGAGCTGTGGCAAGGTTTGCTGTGTCTGTCAGCGTAGTATCCAGAGCATGGAGGCGCTACCAGGAGACAGGCCAGTACATCAGATGTGGAGGAGGGCGTAGGAGGGCAACAACCCAGCATCAGGACCGCTACCTCTGCCTTTGAGCAAGGAGGGACAGGAGGAGCACTGCCAGAGCCCTGCAAAATGATCTCCAGTGGGCCACAAATGTGCATGTGTCTGCTCGAACGGTCAGAAACAGACTCCATGAGGGTGGTATGAAGGCCCAACGTCCACAGGTGGGGGTTGTACTTACAGCCCAACACCGTGCAGGATGTTTGGCATTTGCCAGAGAACACCAAGATTGGAAAATTCGCTACTGGCGCCCTATGCTCTTCACAGATGAAAGCAGGTTCACACTGAGCACATGTGACAGACGTGACAGGGTCTGGAGATGCCGTGGAGAACCTTCTGCTGCCTGCAACATCCTCCAGCATGACCGGTTTGGCAGTGGGTCAGTAATGGTGTGGGATGGCATTTCTTTAGGGGGCCTCACAGCCCTCCATGTGCTTGCCAGAGGTAGCCTGACTGCCATTAGGTACCGAGATGAGATCCTCAGACCCCTTGTGAGACCATATGCTGGTGCGGTTGGCCCTGGGTTCCTCCTAATGCAAGACAATGCTAGACCTCATGTGGCTGGAATGTGTCAGCAGTTCCTGCAAGATGAAGGCATTGATGCTATGGACTGGCCCGCCCGTTCTCCAGACCTGAATCCAATTGAGCACATCTGGGACATCATGTCTCGCTCCATCCACCAATGCCCCGTTGCACCAGACTGTCCAGGAGTTGGGGGATGCTTTAGTCCAGGTGTGGGAGGAGATCCCTCAGGAGACCATCCGCCACCTCATCAGGAGCATGCCCAGGCGTTGTAGGGAGGTCATACAGGCATGTGGAGGCCACACACACTACTGAGCCTCCTTTTGACTTGTTTTAAGGACATTACATCAAAGTTGGATCAGCCTGTAGTGTTTTTTTCCACTTTAATTTTGAGTGTAACTCCAAATCCAGACCTCCATGGGTTGCTAAATTTGATTTCCATTGATAATTTTTGTGTGATTTTGTTGTCAGCACATTCAACTATGTAATGAACAAAGTATTTAATAAGAATATTTCATTCATTCAGATCTAGGATGTCTTATTTTTGTGTTCCCTTTATTTTTTTGAGCAGTGTATTTTAGTAACAACTTATGTTTTAAGTAAAAACCTCAATACTATTACTATCTCCTTAATCCAGGGGTTCCCAATCCGGGGTGCGAGACGATATTCCAGACGGTGCAGAAAAATGGGTTTAGAAGTTTCAAAATTATAGTGTATATGTATAATTAAATGCATATAATTACTTTTAAGGGGTATAAGAATATATCAACAGCATTCCAGGTGTGCGGGATATAGAAAAAATTGGGAATCCCTGTCTTTAATCTGTTAATATAAGAACTTGGAAATATCATGCGATTGCATAGGGCAGTGAAAATACATCAAGAATATGCAGGAGGCAGAAATTCAGGAAGCAAATGTTATCTTGAATATTTCCCCCCCCCCCCTTAACATTAAAAGAAGAGGGAGTATTAAAGTGTTGTCTCATAGCAAATGGCTGAGCCACTAGGGTACTGAAAATTATTTGAAAGATACAAATAGCATGGAAAATGCTCTAATTAAAATTTCTAAATTATACTATTGCAACTTAAATTATCTTCTTGGATGTTTTACACCAGGAGTGTCAAACTGAAGGCCTGTGGGCTGAATTTGACCCATAGGGTGCTTCGATCTGGCCCTGAGCCTCCCTGGAAGCAGCGAAGGCCTGGCCTGCGGTGTCTCTGCCAGTGAAAATGGAGAATGAGAATGCGGCCCTCCCAGGGAGCGTGCGGCCCTCCCAGCTCCATTTTTGCTGGCAGAGGGCTGCAGGATGCCATCACAACCAAAAACAGAGCTTTGCCAAGTGATGTTGAGCTGGCCACACCAACCTGGCTACCACCCCACCCCCTTTAAACACAACCCTGATGTGGCCCTCTATGAAATCGAGTTTGACACCCCTGTTCTATACTATTTGCAGGGAACTCTTATTTACCAAAAATAAAATTCTTGCATTAGTAGGATAGGAAGCTGATACAGTTGATACAAGAAATCCATGAGATGACTGTGACCAAAGATTCGATGGGAAGATTTACCAATGCTGGTTTATTGTGCTGCAGAAAATAACACCAGGATATCTGACAAGAATAAATAATTAGATTACTACATAAGAATACATGAACAGTCCAAAAGAAATGGTTGAACTCTGACCCATCCGTTTTAAACATGATTTATTTACACATGAAGGAAACCTGAAAAAGGGAACACCATCATAGAAATCCATAGGCAGAGGCTAGAAAGGATGCGGAGGGGGAAGTGAACTATGCACCAGGCTGTCCCTTACATATAATACTGCAATACATATACAAAAGGACAAAGCTTATATCATGATGTCACTACTCATGTTTCATTATTTTGGCATCATTCTGGTTAGGAACAGTTGCCTAGAAGTATTCTTTATAACTCTAACTGGATGATCTAATTTTGAAACCTGACTATTTGCCCCACTGTGATTTTCTTTGCATATTTCAAATTAAAATGTAAATTATTACACACGACAGGTTGCAAACTTTAACAGTGATAGAGAAATGTATCAGTTTCCCTACTTGTCAGGATGCAACATTTTCCACAGAATCACAAGGTTCTCAATCAGTTTAGTGAATCCTGACACAGAGCAAAAGGCTGAGTAGAAGAAAGGAGCCAGGTGCACAGTTAAAATTACATTCACCAATAAAACTCACAAAGGTCACATTTTACCATAACTCATTCACTCCTTTGTAGCCATTTTTCCTGTCACAGAGGAAGGAAGAAAAAGAGGAAAAATAAGATGTGTTTGTCTGGAAACCCTCAGGGCTGGAGTGCTGGAGGTGTGTGGCAGGTTGGTGAATTGTCATTTATCAGACTTAAAAAAGATAGAGTGATAAATGCATAACTGGACCTTTAATATTTTATGCAGGTGCTAAAGTGACTTAGCTGTCAACTTCCATACATCAACAGCATATGATAAAGTTGCTTTCGTCACTGTAGATTGAGGCTACTTACTATACCATTTTCGTAATATTTAAAAATGCAAAGTATCACTGAAACTAACTGGCCTTTGGCAATATCTCTCCAACGTCGACTGATGCTATCTCAATATTAACATAATATTTGTAATTCCAACCATTTAATTTTGTTTTCATAGATGGAGAAAAAAAATTTATACTAGCAAAAATGCAAGTTTCAATGTACACTGAAAAGAAAACAGATGCATTTTACAGCTTATAAGACTGTATTTATCAATAGTACAACATTTAATAATATCAAAAAGCTCCCCCAAGGTAATTGAGCTTTAAGAACTAAGAAGGGAAATTTACCTCTGAACCCCCCTTCCAGGAGGGTAGTAGCACGTATTCTCTTCTGCCCACACCATTCATATTCCTCAAAGCGATTACCATTCTCATTCTCAATGTCAACAGGGTCATCCTCCATCATGCATGACCCTTCCCTCTGAGTAAATAAAACATTAAGCATCTTTTTAGTATCTTGGAAAATAGATAATATTCATCCTTGTAGGGGTGCTGAGGTAAATTATGGAGAATTTTGCAAGGTTAAACTGCCTACAAGCAATGGCAAAATGTTACAGAGTGTTGTTTTAAAATTATGAGAGTTCCAAGAAATTTTTTTTAAAGAACTATGGAAATTCAAGGCTAGAATATTTAAATAATGCCCAATAGTATTATCTTAAACCACCCAATGAATTGTCAAATTGGAATCTGAATTGAGAAATTTCTGACTAACATTCTATTTGCTGAAGGAAGCTATAATGGTAATGTTTTAGCAAGGAAGAAAAATAAAAATGTCCTTTGTGCTACAGAAAGAATTTGTCTAAAATTTAAAAATAATTGAAACACGATGATTAATACAGATTGTAATCTTTTGTTTAAATGAATAAATCAGAGCTATCATCAAAAACTGCATTAAGACCCCCTTCTAAACACACCACCGCCCCTAACCTTATTTTAGTATTGGATACCGTATGAAAAAAATCCAATAAAATGAGAAAACTTGGAAAAGCAGAAAATTGAATTTTAACTAGGTTAGAATTGATCATTCTGGATAAAGCTTTAGTATTATTTTTGTTACTTCTCATATATAACTACTATCTACATGAACCGCTATCACAGTTATTTATGTGTGTGGCTACTTCAATGTTTTATATACTAAATTGTAAGGACAACAGTCAGGTGGCTGATATTGAAGACATGATTTAATTCATTAATAAAAAACAGCCACATTAATAATATCATCAACTGTAAATTTACAAAGCCATGGTCTGCTATTTTAAAGGATGTGATATCTATCATGTTCTGAATGACAGGCTATACTACACTAGGAAATTACTGAGCACCCTAACGAATGCTATAAATAGTATAGGAAAATTAGATCCAAGGCCCAATAAACTTATTAAAACTAGAGCACTGCTTGACTAGCAATTGTGTATGGTCATTTTCTCTTAAAAGGAGAGTAGCACCTAGGTGCCACATATATAACTTTGAGGATGAAAAGGAATTGGCTTCACTTCTCCTCTCCAATACATGTTTCAGTTTCATATATGTCTCTGTTTTATTGCATTAATGTTAAACTACAGTTCCATACTATGATCAAGCTCCAGAAAAGTAGGAAAAGCCTCCTGTACTTCAGGAGAACTTCTGAAGAGATGAAAGTTACAGGCCACAATTTTCCTCCTATGCTTCTGTAGGGCAATAGAAAGGTGACCAATGACATAGTGGCATCATTAAGTCATATCCTAATTTTGGAGGGGCCTTTCTCATGTTTAAGATATTATAAGGATGATAATTTCCATGACTGAATTCTCCCCAAATCCTACCCCCTCCCCAAAAGGGCTGTTGCAAAAATCTAGCCATTTTCTCGTTGCATTTCAGTGGCTTAATCTCAGTATTGGTGGGGAAGGTGCTGACTGCCACTGCTACTGTAATAGCAACGGAGACTACAATCCATTCTCATTTGAAAGGCTAGGAAGATTGGCTGTAACATAACAAGGCTGCCAAAATGATAAGCAAGTAATCAAGTGGATCTGCAAAGGAACATTCAAGTCTCAGGCGTTCAATTGGCAACTTCGATTTCTATCCAGATATCAGGCATAGCAGAGAGTGTAGAAAGAAAGCAAGGAGAGGCAGCAAGAGTTTCCTTAACATTTCTACCTTTGCAAGGCATTGTTCGACATGCCCATTCCTCTCCTCCTCGGATCCTGAGAGAGGCTGGCTGCAGAGGGGACATACCTGTCCTTCGTCTTGCTTCCTCCTTTTCATTTTTCCAATCCGAGCTGTTCAAGGAAAGCAGAGATAGAAGAAAAGTACAACAGGTTACATTTGTAAGATTAGCCCCTTCTCTATCCAAGTGTCAATAGTATTCATATTCCATTCCTTGCAAGGGACAAATGCAAACACAATTAGAAAGGAATACCACACAGGGCTAAATTTTATCTTGAGCACTCTGAACTTAATCCTCTTCATCTTTCCAATTTTTGTGGCATGGTCAAACACAAATCAAATTCCTTGTCTTCAAGAAATCATGCTTAATTCTATAATTATTATAGGACCATAAAAAATGTAAAGCCATTTGAGTTGCCTCAAAGCAGCACCATTAATTGAAGTAGAGAGCTTCTGGATTCACCCCAGAATAAGTCATCAGTACTCATTTTGCCTGCAAGGTGCCCAACCAGATTACTTTTAGAATACTTTATTATCGAACATTTTTCAAACTAAATAAGGTGATGCTTACACTGCTCACCCCCACCCCAAAAGCACCAAGTTCAAGCATGAAATTTGGTAGCAAAATGGCCAAATTTCAAGGATGCACGTTTAAAACAAGATTAAATAAAGCAAATATTTCTCATCTTCATCTGTAGGTCACAGTAAACTGTCTTGTCCAGAGTTCTACTCCTGGTGGTTGCACTGAGAGTGCACACTCTTTGCTACTCTCAGGATGATCTCTGCTTGTCCAGTTATGGGTGAGTTAGGTGGGCACGCATGTAATAATAGAGCGAATGGCAGCAATTTATGTGTCAGGTTAAAATGGATATAAATTAAACCTTCTTTTGGTGCAATTTTTATATAGGTAGTCTTCAACTTATGACCAACCACTTAGTGACCATTTAAAGTTGCAAGACCCCCCTCCCCACAAAGGCACTTATGAACCAGTTCCAAAGTTCTAACAGCTGCTTTCCCTTAAGTTACATGACAAGATTTTGGTTGGTCAGCAACCACCTCACGTTTATGACCATTTGACTATAATTTAAGACTTTTTTCCCCTGAAAAGCAGTGTTCATTTCTGGGTTTGGGTGAAAATGCCCCATAGTGAACAATGGGTTCGCTTAATGACTGTAGTGTTCACTTAATGACCATAGTGATTTGCTTTACTGCTGAAAAAAAGTCATAAAATAGGGTCTATTTCTATATTTGTGATAATTTTTAATGTTGTGAGGTAAAAAGTTATAAATTGTGGACCTGCTTTTGGGGGGGGGGGAGGAATAATTATTATAGCTGAAGCTTATTTATCAGTATTCAACCAGCGGGGATATTTTATGGCTTTATGTACTATTTTCTCTTTGTTATTGTTATGTACTTTTTTTCCTTTTCTTCCTTTTGTATTTTGACTTTGGAAATTAAAAAAATATATAGAAATAAGAATTGTACACCACAAAAACTGATCAATATGGTTCAGACCAAGTTAACATGAGCTGATTATGTGTTGCTATATGTTGCACAAATATGTAACATAAATGTTATATTTGTTGCAACTTCAAAGAATTTATACCAAGCATGAAAAATGATCTGAAAAATACTGTAAAGGGAGACAAAATATAGATAGGAATAACTGACAAGTGTAAGTTGCTACTAATAATTTGAGAATGCAAATGTAGGAAAAACAAAGTCTGTTCAATTACACAGTCAACTTTAGTTGACCATAAAATAATCAGTCATGCAAATATTTGAAGAATATTATCCTATAGTCTATTTCCCTGAACTCCTTCCATTTTTCTTCCAATCATTTTTTTTTCTCAAAAAACAATTCCAAACAAATTTATAGGCACCTACTTTTTACCAAATATACAGTGCAAGAGGAAAAAGATCCCATTAGCTCTGGATCGTTTCTCCAGAATAGCACAAGTGGCTCTGGCTTTTACCCTCTCAGATTTAGTGTTAGAACACTTACACAAAACCAAAATCATTTCTTTAATAATAAACCTTGCTCTTAATAATTTCTCTCACGTTTTCAAGATCAGATAAGTAGAAAACAGCTCAATGTAAAATAGGGCTGTCAAACTTGTGGCCCATGGGCTGGATGCATCACAAACAGGCCACGCCCCCACCCTTTTTAGCGAAGGGGAAAAAGTCCCGATATATCACGTAACACTGCCATGACGATGCAAGTTTGACACCCCTGATGTAAAAGATCCTAAATTTTCATGTTAATCAGGCTAATATGTTCTTGAAAAGAAATTAGAAGCCCTCGTATAGGAAGTTGCACATACAGCTTTTTCCATTTTCATGGGAACAATTATTAATACCGCCAGGAAAAAAAAATGCAGTAAAAACATGCACTAAAGAATACTGTCACTAGAAATCTCCTTATCTGTACTCACTAACAAAATCTACAATCACTTATTCTTTCACTCATCTAGTTAATTTGCAATCAAGAAGACTTCCATGTTACATTTTCAATGCCTTCTGTTTTTTAAAAAAACATCCTCAATTACTAGAATGTTGATATTATTTTTCTCAAGGACTACCTAGTGCATCTTTTTAAAATAAATCTTCCACTGCAAAGCCTGTGATGCTAATTGAAGGAGAAATTGTAAAACCGTTTCTAAAATACTAATGTTAATAACTTGGGTTCTAACCATTGTTGTCAAAGCTACTTGGACCTAATTTTGTGTTGCTGGATTATTATGTTTATTATTTATATGCTAGCATGATGTACAGGTAATGTAAAAGGATTGATTTTTCCTAGAGTGATGAATGTTCGAGACAATTCAGAAAATAAGACTATATTATTATTATTATGCATTCTCAGTGGTGAAGACAACTTTAAAAAACATATAACAGCTATTACAAAAAAAAAAAAAAAAAACCACGCTCTTGCCCACAAAATCAGAGTGGCAGAAGCCAAACATTAAATACAGCAGAAGGAAGATAACAAAAAAGTGAGCAAAAGCTTGATGGTGGAATTCAGGAATGAGAACAAGGAACTGAGGCTGTTTGAAAAACGAGTGAGTAGAATTTCCAATTGCTGCTATAAAGCTCTGCTATCACTTCTAATCAACATAGGAAGGATGGAGCAGCCCCAGAGGAAGGGGGGCAATTGCCGAGCTGTCCCGAAGGAGAACAACTCAAAAGAACACACAAGTGAGACCACAGTATTGTTAATTAGTGCTGATAGATGAAATCATTTCTAATTAGCTCACTAATCCTTCTCCCCTGTACTCTTGTCACAGGAGCAAAGAGAGGTGCTTGGTTGATTTTTTCCTAATGTTTAAGCCAAAGATATTTTTTAAAAAGAATAAGCCTGAACGAACCAACAGAAAAACTATTTATCAGTTAAGATTCCAAACAGTCAGGTTAGTTTTTGCAGTCCCACAGTTAGAATATAGCTGAAGTTAAATTCTGTAAGAGACTTTGCTATATCAACGTAGTCATGATAAAAGAAAGTTTGATAGTTTTAAGATGCACAAGACATTTTAAATTATTAAGTTTATTTTGCTTAAATAACCAGGGCATAGGGAAATCAGTATTAGCATTATAATAACAATTCTGCCACTGGAATGATTTCATGAACCAGAATGTTGTTGATAGTCACTTTTTCTTTTCTTTTCTTTAAAGTATTCCTTCTTTGACCGGATTAATCATGGATCCAAATTGCTACAAAAAATTATTTCAAACACATCTATGTCATTGGTTCCTTTTCTACAAAAAAGTATACAATTGTGACAGGCTTTGCTTTGTTAATCCAAACAGCACAAATTCAGACTTAGTCTTAATTTATACTATCTCATGTACTTGTTCTGGTTTATCTGGAGTTTTTATTTTAAAGAGTCTTAGAAGGGCTCTTGTGCTAAAGCAGTTATGTGAATATGCTTAATAGAATATTTCTGTAGGAAAAGCTGGGAGCCAGGTCCCGCTCCATTTCATATTCTGCCTTTGTTTTTTCTATTCTTCATTGTTTTGCAGGGCCTTATTTTGTATGTATTACATAACTTATACATTGCTGGGAAGCCTGGAATCACACCTACTTTTGTTCCATAATCTAGGTAATCATTTACATACCCAAGTTTGTATTCCACATTTTATCTATGCTGAGTACTCTACTGAAAAGAAAAACCCAGCATGTCTTTTTCTAGTCTACTAACCTAGCTATTAGTTATTAGCTTCTAACTCAATTTTGCTTGTCCATCAATAAATACTTGCTCAGATTGTACAATTTCTTCTGCATGTTCCAGATTGGTATAGTTAAGAATTATATTCAATTCACCCTTGGAAGTGAACTGACACAATTATTTTCAGGATTAATGTGTACATCATTATTTAAAGAATTTATATGACCATCTATCTCGTATAATGATCCCACTCAGCTCATAACTGGTAAAACCAGGAATACCTCCCCCTCCCTTGCAATAGACATCAGCCCAATCAGTCTCTTGACTCAACTCCCATTATAGGTCAACATTTGGGCAAAGTGCCAGGTCTTTACAGCCTTCTTCAAGGCTCAAAGGAGAGGGATCCCTCACATTTCAGGTGGAAGGTTATTTCAAGGCTGGGACAACTACAGAGAAGGTGTGCCTATGTGCAGTTAACTTTCTGGAATTATAAGTTAATGAATCACAGGATTTACTTTTTAGTTTTACATAAACCAAAGTATTATAAAATAGTTTTATGATGGAATTATTTGGGGGAAGATTTAGGCAATTTGGAATACATATGGATAAATAAAGGACATATATTAGCAATTCCTTATTTCAAAGCTGCTATTGTAAGTTAGAAAAATATAAGATTTTTAAAGTTGTTGGCAAGTACAGGGTATGTACAGTACCCAAATAGACTCCATATCATCTTTTCCTTTAACATTTGGATGGCTGCACAGTAACAAAAGCTCAAGAAGCCTTTGATTAATATTATATTTCAATGAAGCCAATACACCCAGCAAGAACTGATTTGCTTTAAAAAGTATTGGAAAAATATTTGTGTTTTTGCACTAGGCATTTTCCAATAATAGCACCAGATGCCGCAAGGAATATTTGTGAGATCATCAATAAATGAAACGGTACAATGGTATTCATTAATCATATGACAGAGGTATTCAATTGACATTGTACTCCAGTTTATGAATGTAAAACACAGATTACATGGATTCACAATGCAATGGATGATGCTTATTAATCTTAATTCAAGAGTTCACTCTTATGTTGTAAATACCATTAACATAGATCTTATAACCTTGTAGCTGCCAAGTAATTTTGAATGCATAATAAAATACTCTTTTCTTGTACTTTTAAAATACTTTATAATTTGAAAACCTGAGATTTCAGTGTATTTGCTTTTGCTTGAATTAAGCACTGACAAATAGAGTTAAAGAATTACAGCTTTTGAAAAGGTATTTTTGTTTTAAAGCAGTCAGATTTTGTGGTATTAATATTTTAATCTGAATAAAAATCTCAGTGCTAAAAGCTGTAAAAAAAATACTGCATGCAAATATTGTATTTGTGGTTTCCCTATAAGGGCAAATAATCTAAGGAATTAAATCTGTGGAAGTCAAATTAAAAGTTAATCTTGATTCTCTACAAAATGCCAGAGATTGGGCACAGGAGATTACACATACGTTGGGACATAGTTGATCAGAAATTGAAAAACAGCACATGTGAAGTGTGGTTGCAAAAATTACCAAAAGAAAAATGTGAAATAAGGACACTAATCATGTTTTATACATGGCTCTAAGTAGTATCTTATTTGAAACAGTATCCAGTACTGGTGGTGAAGGATGACACCAATTTAGGAAAGATTCAAAGAAACAAAAAAGGTTGGCAACACAACCTTTAAAATTGTCGGTCACAACTTGCTAAACTACCTTATAAAGGAAAAGAGCATTAGCCCCATCAGACACTAATACTGGAAATTATTACTCCTGACAAAAGACAAGAATATAGATCTCACTCACCATTCAGCCGGGTCTGTCTGTTTGCCCTTACTCGCAAAAAAGTCTATGAACAAAAGACACAAGAACGTAAATAGATAGGATTAAGGCCCTGCTAATGAGAAAACCAGAGAATAATTCAATCAACTTTAAGAAGTATTCTTGAAAGGAACCCACACCCAGAATATTTTTAAAAATACGCACCAGTTTCATTCAACCCTTAAAAACCCTCCTTTCTGATTTATTTTTCCATATATTAATTCAAACAATTCATAGTTTCCTAACAGCTTCCTTTATTCGTGTTTTCTTTTGCTTAACTCTTAAGTCATATTTAGACTTTCAGAACTCTCTCATATAAAATGATAGTCCCATTTTCTAAAGTTCATAGATTGTCCATTATCAAAAGTATTTAATCTGTAACAGTAGCTATAGCCAGTTTCCCTGCCTGCCTCACTATCTTAGGCTAGCTCAAACTCCAAACTGATCTGCCAAATGAGTACCTATTTTGGCTCCATTTTCTAAATACAACTCCAGCTTCCCACCCCCCTCCCCGTGGCTGTCCTGCCATTTCTACTAAATTAAGCAGTTTCTTAATCAACTCCTACCATAGTTCGTTTTCTCTTTATATAAAAAAAAAGGCCTCTCCAAGTTTATCCCGAGAATGTAAACAGACCACTCCCCCTCTCAGGAAGGACGGCCCAGCTTCCCTTAGATGTAAACAAGACCTATTCCCTTTCTTAGCAGTAAAATGGCTTCGGCCCCAGAAACGGTCTACGTTCGCACCTCCTCCCGACCACCGGGCTCCCTCCTCTCGCTCTGCATGGCCGGGGATGAGAATGGATACGGGCAACGGCACGGCACCTGCAATTAACTCCCCGAAACAGCGGCCGTCGCCATATTAGCTGCGATCATGTGACCAGCCGTCGCCGACGCGGGGTGAGAGTTCAGAGGAAGTTGTTCTCATGGCAACTATGGCTGGGAGCGGGCGAGGGTTGAGTGGTTTTTGCCGTAATAGTAGCGTGTGCCTCAATCGGTTTTGTAAACACCGGTTATCACAGTCCGGATGCCTGAAACGTGTAGTCTTTGCCCACCAGATCGTCCCCGTCGCCTTTTCTAACAAACTTTGCGATTCACACAACTCCTTAAAACAAATCCGCGCTCCAGAGCGCGCCTGGTCTGTACTTTGAAAAGCAGCGGTTTTTTCCCCTCTTCACAATAAAAGATCAAAGTTACCAATGGTATTCTCCCCCCCCCCCCCCAAAAAAAAAAAAAAAGCGGGGAAAAACCCCGGGCCCCGTTTCTGTAGCCGCAGCCGATACCCAATATTCTGGTTTCACTAGCCTGACCCTATATTGATCAAGAAGTAAAGGATGGTTACTGGCCAAGACATAAATATACTTTTCTAAAACGAAAGAAAGATCTTGCCAATGGCAGCACTGGAAATGGCATGGCAGTGCATGATTTTCATCCTGTTCATTTCCTGTTCATAATACACGTGAGTTGGTTATTTTGCCAATAAATAGTGGATTGCTGTCCATGCATTTAGTGAAATGGATCACAATCCACAAAAGTCTATCACAGTTGTTGTTTTTTCAAGTATTACACCATGTTCTTGCAACACTTCCATACAAATGGAAACACAATCATGTAAAACATATATCTACACTACAGCAATTTAATTTTCAGGTTTAAGGTTTAGTATGTTGTACAAATCCTTGAAAGAGTAAATTCATTAAACCAAAGTTAAATTAACTTGTGTAAACATACCATACAATCTTCAACTATAAAGAATCAGAAAATATGCTTTAAACTCACTAAAAATTTCTAGAAAAACAAAACAGAAGTGTAACAGCTGAAAAATTTCACTATGCCTGATGAGCATGAATAGCGAGTATGATGCAACTTTTGAAGGTACGAAAACCCATTCAAAATCTAATTTTAGGACCTTATTGTCAGGCCACTGCTATAAAAAGGAATTCATGTAGTTACTGGGTGCTCTACTAATATGACATCCCAGATCTGTTTGGATGATAATTTCTTTAGTCTTAAAAATGTTGTAGTATGCATCATAAAAATTTCATTGTCAGAAATATATTCATTTTATGAGAATATTTAAATATGGCAGTGCATGATTGTACAAATGTACAATCGGGCTATAGTAAAAACTGTAGTTAGTACACAATTTGAATACATAAATAATGTGCCATTTTATTAAAGTAAAGATCAATATGTAATATGTCTTGTAAATGTTTAATCCTATTGAAGTCAATAGGCGTCGGCTCTGTGAATTGTAGCTCTTTGTAGGGACAATATCCAAATAAATTTTTTTCCAAATAAAGCTGTCAGACATTATTTTACTGTGTTGTTTCCAATATTGTTTCTGTGTTGTTGCAAGAAAGTTAAGCCTATAGAATAACAGAGTTAAAAAGGACATTGGGGTTCTTCTAGCCCCATCCCAGACAGGAGAGCCTATACTGGCTGCCCAATCTTTTCTTAAAAACCACCAGTCATGGTCCACCTACAATTTTTGGAGGCAAGCTGTTCCACTGATCAATTGTTCTCCCTGTTAGGAAATTTCTTCTTAGTTCTAGGTTGGATCACTCCTTGATAGGTTTCCATCCATTACTTCTTGCCCTGCCCTCAGGTGCTTTGGACAATAGGTTGACCCTATCCTATCTGTGGCAATCTCTCAAATAATGGAACACTGCTATCATGTCACACACACACCCATCCTTCTCTTATATAAGAGAAGGAACTACGTCCTGTTTCCTGAGAAGTATCCTATTAGTGTAAAGCTATCAAAGACTTTTCAAGTATTAAAGCCAATCAGATGTGACAGTGTTACTGATCTGAGGATTTACTATTAAAACTGATCAAAGCATAAAAAACCTTGAGAATTTCTTAAAATCCTAAAGCACTAAATTAATTCAATATAGAGAATTTTCCCATATTTTTTTTCAGCAAATATGGCACTGCATGGAGGGCAGCAATATAGACTTTCAATGATGGGTTTCACAAAGATCATTTGTGTTTTTCTAATATTACTCTAATATGACACTCACTCTGATATTACCCTCAAGATCGGAATCCTTATCACGCACAAATTTTTTTGCTGGCACTACTACTAGTAATAATAACAGCTAACAGTGCACTTTAACTCATGTGAGTGCATTAGTATTAATTCTGATCTGATTCATATTAAATATTGTACAGTCAATTGGAGATATCGTAAATAAGTAAAATTAAATAAAAGATATAAGCAAACACAATGGTTGAAAAGAAGATATAAATATGTTTAGAAGTCTTTCAAATTTCTTCATTCCTTTTATTTTTCCTAATTGTACTTCTGTATGTTGTGTAGGCATTGATTTTATAAGATTTAGAGCAAACACATCCATCACAAATTGTTATATGAATAGACAACTTTGCATTTCATAAATATTAAGACAGCAAATAACAAACTAAAATAGTAAACTATCTTACTGGGATTCAGAGGAAAAAAGAAAGGAAAAAAGTTATTTGCAGTTTTAACTCAATCTTAGCTGGCAGCTTCATTCTAGTACACTGAAACTCTTGTTTAGATGCTTTGACAATATTGTACTTGACAAGAGATTCCGCTAAGAACACAGTGTACTACAATTTACTGGTCTTTGTCTTCAGAGGTTCAAAATACTGTATCAGAATTAAGTCATATGTAATTTCTTCACATACTTCTGTTTATGAACATCATCTATGTGTGTGGGATGACATTCTTGTTGACTGTAAATCAGGTCACATAAATCTAACCAATGACCAATGAAGACGCATATTTTATAAACTAAAGAGACAGCAAAAATGAGTACCTGGAAGAAACTATTTCAATAATACATTAATGAGATTTATATTGTATATTTATATTCTTAGAAGAAACCATGCATTAATTATTTTACAAAGGGTAGGATGTAATCGGGCTATACATTTACATCCTGAAACTGGGATGTAATTGGCTCCTCCTTCGAGATGACTATTTACAACTTAGCTTAGAGAAAAATGATGAAATTTGATTTTTAATGGGGTTTTTTCTTCAAGTAAATTGTACTCTCATCATGCATTTTCCTTCTACTTACTGTCCAATACTTCTCCTTCCCTGGTTTGGAATATTATAACCTGACTCAGTGTAATGCTTAGCATTCTCATTTCAAATTTATTACAGTGAGAGATAGGTGTGCTCCGTATTTTCTATGACCTGACCTAAATTGATTTCTTGTGTTAGAGAAATAGATGCAAAGAATCTTTTAACTGGAACAGCTTTTTTTCTTTTTGGAAAAAATGTCATGTCATTAATCCTATTCAAATTCATAAGCATGTGAAGAAAAGATATGGAATAAAAATACCATTTTCAAAAGCAATGCTGTTTCCCTAGTGTGAGTAAAATGTTCAACTCAATACTAAAGAATTTTAATTGATCATGTAGGGCATAAAGGGGAGCCACTAATTATTTTTTCAGGAAAGCAACACAAAACATCATTTTTAACCCATCCCCAGCCTATTGTGAAGACATATTTTTTTGCTGTGTGTCTAAAGTAGTATTTTATCAATTCTGCCAGCATAAGCCATGCCAAGTGGTCCATCTGCTTTATTTCATTTCATTCTCTCATTGACACATGTTAATTTTGGATACCAGGGTGAAACTGGGAAAAGTTCTACAAGTAATGGAAAGAACAGTGAGGAAAAAAGTGACACACACATCCCCAACACACACACTGGGATGAAGCTGATAAAAGTTTTACAGTTTCTCCTTCTAACTCAAGTGATACCAAGAATTGTAAAAAAGTAGTTTTTCTCATTTCCCAGTACCCTGGAAAAATGCTCAACAAGAGCAAGTAATTCCTGCTTTGCAGTTGAACAAGATGACCTCTAAGGCCCTTCCAGCAATATGATTCAATGTTTGTTCATGCAAACAGACACCATGTGTTCTTAGAATCAACTCTTTTCAGAAAGGAAAGTGATTGGTTCTTGCTTGCTTGAATGGGTGGGAAATAAACAGAAGCAGGAAAATCTACAAATTGGGATGTGATAACTGTCATACAGGTCAGCCAAAGTTTGAAATCCATATGACATTTTCTTGAGATGGTTTGATATCCAGGCACTATTACAAGAGTCAAGCAGTTTAAGGTTGCCAGGTGAAATTGTCCCAAGCTGTATTCTGCTTTTAGTATTCATTTTACTAGAACAAATAATACATGGTACAAAAATTAAGATGAATTTCTTAAATTAATGTGTAAATTGTAAAATATTTAGATTTTTTTTTTCTGTTTTTCCCCCAAATTATTGAAATTAAAGCCACTGAATAATAGTACTGAAGAACCTAATTTCCTAATCAGTCTAAAATATTCTGTAATCAATTTTCCTGCTTCCTAATTTTGTTGCTCCTGAACATTCAATTATAAGACCAGGTTATATTAGTATCAAAATATACTGAAATGCATAGCGTCATCATAACTTCTACTACGAAATTCAAAATTCAGATTGTCCATATGAAGTTTCTAGTATCTTCTGAAAAGTAGCACATTGTTTGGGTATTTCTTTCACTTGATTCTTTTTAACTGATATATTTTTACCCCTGGATAGGCTTGTGGTTAACCATTCAAAGTCATTGTGATTCAAAAGGTATACAAGCTGAAGTAATATATAAGTAACATTTTAATGATACAAATGCTAATAGTGATCCACATTTAAGTCACAAAGTTGATTAGTTCAAACTTTTATGATATCTTCTTATAGAATTATTATGTTAGAAATCTTTGTCTACTAATCTCTTCCTATTATACAGTATTTCATAGGAAGCATAAATGTCACAAAAATGGCAATGTGCCATTAGTAATACTTCAGTTTACACACTCATAAGGCATTTCATGGAAAGTTCAGCCTATGGAATCAAAGGAAAATTTATTATACAATGTCTTTTTAATTAATCCTCAGCTGGATTTATGTTTGAGGTTTGACTATTTTCCCAGCTGAATTCATGTAACAATTATACATTGCTGTTTTAATTAATCAGATCTGAATTTCCAGAATAAAGATAATTTGAAAGAAAAAAAAGTAAAAATATCCTAGAATTTGTATAAGAATTTCTTGATATGTATAAATGAATGCTGTTACAAATATTTATCACATTCTGTAAGATTATATAGTGTTGACTGGTTTTTTGAAAGAATGAACTAAATACATGTTGAAAATAATTGATTGTGAAATATGAAATATAATACAGACTATGTAAACAATGTATCTGCTTATGACAATATCTACTATTATGGCTAATACACATAAATTAGTTATACAATATCCAGAGAGAGTATCCTATTAAGTAGAGTTAATTAGAATAACTATGCATCTTAGTTTCCAATTAGGATGTAGCCCACTTATGAAGCAATATATAAGTCTAAGTGCTATTGCTATTACTATTTATAAAATTCATCACCTCCTTATATTTGAAGTTTATTAAAAAAAAACTTTAGTAATTAAGATGTTCATTTGGACAATGAGTTCTGTTGGCTTTGGACAGTAAAAACAAGAACCCATTGTACCTGTGTTTCTCAACCTGGGTAGCTTGAAGTTGGGTAGACTTCCAACTCCCAGAATTCCCCAGCCAGCCAATTCTGGAAGTTGAAATCCACCCATCTTCAAGCTGCCCAGGCTGAGAAACATGCATTACAACATAAAGTGCTTTAACACTGTAATGAGCAACTGTTAAAAATACTCTGAGCATTACGAAAACAATTTTTGTTTGCTTAAAACAGTTGCATTAGATGCTTCTTTCAGAATGGAGCCTTAAAGTTAATTGTTTCTTTTTGGTCATTTGGGGCAATTTATTGGGCCTTTTCTTTTTATCCACTTCAAAAGTAATATCTGTGCAATATTGTACTGTTAGGCTATTATATTGTCACAAACAAATATTCTCATATCCAATAATCCTCTTTATCAACCACTACTATGACATAAAGCAATAAAAAATAACAAGTGGATATAATCCTCTCGAAGAAACTTGCAATACTGTTGTATTATAGTACTGTTTAATCAAGGTTTCAAGGATATAGAAACCTATGTATCAAACAGCAATTATCTGAATTTACATATGACATACAAAGCCTAACACCATTCCTTGAAAGATCTGTTAGTGCCATTTAGTAGCTCCTGGCTTTCAGTCATCAGCTGACTCCTCCTGGTATCATTCTCACCTGGTATCTGTCAGAGTGATGAATATCATCTGAGGAATGGGGTGATGCTGTTGGAGAATCTCCTTCCCGCTTGATAGAGGCTGACAACAAAATCGACTGCAGGAAAAGAAGGGGAAAGGGAAAGCAGTTAAGAATGCAGAGGGAAAATGGAGGAGGAGATATGCAGTAGCAATAATTAAGAAAATCATGATTAAGTCAACTATGGGTTAACGTGTCGTGTAAACACAGCTTACCATCCTTGATTCTCTCCTGTAATCGTTTGCATAAACTTTTATTGACAGAATTATAAGAATAGAGCATGCCTTTTTTATTTTATACACATACAGTATATCATATATTTGTTAGGTGCGATGAAAAACCATGTCCAACGTGTGATGGTTCAATTTAACTGATTTATTGCTAAAAGCCTACCAAAGGATCTTAACTAACAGTCAGCACCTGGTTAGAATTAGATAAGGGTCCATGGCATTCAAAGGGGGTTGGAGGTTTCAGTCCCTGGATAAAAAGCCAGATATAAATATAGCAGATAAATAAGTTTGAAGTTATCCCAAACTCAACTAACTCATTATGTATACGCAGCATATGCATGTACTCAATAATGCATAATTAAAGATTTCTTAGTGTTGAGTTGAACTTTCTCTGACCACCTGGTCACATAAAAACACTTCAATACAAAATTTTGGCTGAATTCATAGCAGCTGAAAGGATTATCACTAGAGATAAAATGAGGGCCTAGTTTATAGAAAATGTTGTTTTGCCTCAAAGTTTCACGTTACTTTATTATTATTTGTTAAGAAAGCGTATATGGCTACTCAACACGCTCACAGTTACTCCAAGCAGCCTACAGAAATAATACCCTAAATAGAAAACCCAATAATCCCCACCTAAATTTTCTTTCCTAAATTTGACATATTGTCGTTGCTGAAAATTGTCTTGACTTTCTTATGATAACAGGTATAAAATGCATATTAAATAAATTAGAGGAAAATTGCCATTTAGGGAGCAAATGCTGTACTCCAATCTGTATAATTAGAATAACCTGCAGCTTTTAAGCTGCGTGTGCCTCTTCTGCTATACTGCAATTTCATGCTATTGAAATTTAGTTTCAAAATGACAAAAGTTCAGGAGCTTATTTCAAGTAGTTTGGCAGGGGGGAGTTCCTAATATCCTCCCCATCAAAAAAATTGATCAGTTCTGCCCTTTCAATGACATTATAGTAATACTGGATAGCTTCTTGCAGCCTTTGAAGGTCAAAAGGCTGAATTTCAACCAGTGACCCTTCAAATTTCCCCACCTTTACTTTATAAAATTACATATTGTAGACAATCCTTTGCCTTATTTTTTTATCAGAAGAAACTGCCACAAATGTTATTTCAATAAACCCCATTCCCTGTATATTAATGTGCTGCAACAGTATTCTGAGATCTACAGGACTGATAGAAAGTGTTAAAGTTACCTTAGCTTTCAATCTGTTTCAGTGAAGATATAAAAATATGAAAGTCAAGCTTTCAGCTCGACTTTCTATCAGCACAGCTTCTCAGAACCTCCATCAAATTCCGACAGCCTGTCTGCTGGCTCCCCATCCATCCATGCAACTAGTTCTAATTCAGTATGATTATGTGAAAAATGGCTGTACTCGCTATGGAGACAGTAAATTAAACATTATATTTTACTTTTTATCATGTGGTCCCAAGAAGAATACTGGCCCCATTTATTTTACAGACCTCCAGAGCACCATGACAACGACCTCTGGCTAAACTAATCCCAAAGATGTCAATCTTAGACCTTCTACATACACACTCTGTTAAGATGCTTAAAATTGTAGCACTGTTTAAAATTGTAGCAAGCAGTTATATTCTAAATACCTCTACAGTGTGTTAAACACCATATCAGTGAATTGAGCTCTTGCCATTGCATCAAACTAAACTTCCACTAAAATGGAGAGAAAGCATCTCTATTTAGGCAATGTCAGAGGAATTTACAAGGTGGAATTGGGAAGGAAGAAAGAGCAGTAGTAGAAATTTTAGAATTGTACATCCTCAGTTTTCAGTGCCCATCTTGCTATTGTTCACAGTATTTGCATCTAATTGTTAAGTGTGGATTGGATTCACACAAGGGTATTGATTTCAACTCAAATGGATCAACTAAGGACATATTTTTAATTAAGAGAGGACATTAAATTAGGAAAAGATAGACATGGAGTCAACACCAAGTTGCAGATTTAAAAATACTATCTATCTTTAAGGCACTTTTTCTGAATTCAACATCAGTGAGAATCTGATACCCTATCTGACCCATCAGCCATACCAAGTGGACCAGAAATGCAACTAGATAAGCAAATTCTACTTTATTGTAAGTCTGAAAGTACAATTCTCCCTCTATCTCATTTACCTCCCTGAAAAAATTAGGGAGAGTCTTTTCTTAGCCTCTTGCCCTACCTACTCGCCAGCTGTAAATTATGTTGCCTCTCATCATCTGATTATTCCCTATATAGTGTCTTTGGGGCCAGTCTCCCACAGTCATTCCCACATACCATTACATCACCCTCCCTTCAGACTCATTCCCCCTCCTGAATTTCCAGGGAAAACAAAATGTGAGTGTAAAAAACAAAGATAGCTATGCTGGTAACTGTCCGAGACCACATGAGGCATCCTGAAAATCATCTCTCTCTATAGAAGTAACACTCATCCCTCTGAGAATCAGTCTCACCCCCTTCCCTCCATGTGCCTGATGTGGAATGAGTCAATTTTCCATGCCCCTTGCTTGGTATCTTGCTATCCCTGAAGTACCTCTACCCCATAGAAGAAATCCTGTTCATCTTGGCCAGCACCTAACTCCTGCAAGGCTAGTAGTTGTCGAGAACAAGATTTGTTAGGATATTGGTTGTGACATCAGTGCACCAATTGCAGTGCATATACATCTGTTGCTGCCTTCAATGACCTCTCTGACTCTGGGTAGCATTTTCAATGTATCAGATATTCAACCCATTTCCCTTTGCATTCAGATCTAGCACCATTTCCACCCTGTACACCCCCTCCCCGTTTACCAGTGTGGGAAAGTGCAATCTGTGAACATAGAAGGGGGAGGGCAGATGTGTGTGCTTCTCTCACTAGCAAAGCTCAACTGAATATAAGGTGAACTTTCATTGATGCTGGCAATTACAAAGTTACTGTATTTATTTGTTTAAACACAGGAAAGAGCCAATAAATTTAAAGTCTCGTTTCTTGGAAGGTCTCTGCAGAAATCAGTAATTTTGTAAAAACCCACACTCGATCCCTTTCTACAATTCTAGCACCTTCTTGTCTGCATGCATCTGCTGCTTTTTCATTCGTGGCCTCTGCTAGTTTTAGCTGTTTCTTTGAGGATTTGGGCTGTTTGCCTCTTATGTAGGAATTCTATGGTGTAAGGAAAGGTGTTTTCTACACTGGTTGTTGGTAAGACCCCTGAATGGAATCTGTAAATTGCCTGGGGACATATTGATAGATGAGTGTGCTGCATTGTAAGCAAATTCAGCAGGAATGCAACATCAGTCCAGATGTCATGCTGATATGAAACACAGAATCTTAAATATTGCTGCAAAGGCTGGTTTAATTTTCTCAAATTCTCTATTGGTTTTCAGATGATGCGAGGAAGACAAATACATTTTAATATTTAATAAGTTCAAGATAGTCTTCCAAAATTTGGAAGTGAACTGACTTCCTTGGCCAGTTAATCTAAGTCAATTACAATATTGACCAATTCTCTATATCTAAAGACATGGTCCAAAAATGAAATCTCATTAAATTCACTAGTCTTAGCATGCTAGTATATCCCTGCACTGAGGGAAGATGATTTAGGTGAGAAATAGTGTCTCGGGGCTATAATAGGATCTCAAGAGGCTGCAATAACCAGACAGCTTATTAAGAGTTTGGCTTTGCTCTATGACAGACATGACAAAGGGAAACAATTTTTCATGATGGCATGGATGTGAGGCTACCAAACTCTCTAAAAAGTCTACGTTGGGTTTTAAATATCCTCCTGACTCTTGCTGTTTTGTGGTCATAACACAGCTGTAATAGCTCCTTCCTTAGGGAAAAAGGGACTTATAAATGTGTGTTGTGCAACACCTGCCTTCCCTCCACTATGAAAGGAGCAACAGTACCTTGTTGAGCTCTCTGGAAGTCACCATCCAAGCCCTGGCATATGCATTAGGTGGTTGTTGTGCCTTAATTTGATCAAATAGATCAGTCTGTCATCTTGTTCCCAGCTTTTCGTCTTGTTCTGATTTACAGTGCAACTCACAATTGCATGGCTGAAGTATTTGTGGTGGGTGATTGGCTTAAATTGTATTCTGGCTTATGTGGAGCTGTGTCTGAAAGTTTTTTTTGAAAGCCTGGAATGTATGAGATGTAAAAGTCAAAACAGAAGAAAAATTATGCCCACCACATTTGTCCACGGGTGAGAGATTGAGTATTCTGCAAAACCTCTACACTCTTATGGTCCGTATGAACTTTTATAGGGTGGACTATTGCTTCCAGCTTATGGAAGGCATTTTTATTGCCAGCACCTCTTTAGTGAAAATGTAATCGTTCCTTTCTTTTGGGAAGATCATTCTGAGTAAAAGGCTGATAATAGTAACTCTGTCCACACTTTCTTTTCTGCCTGGAGCATGAATGCTACTATGGCATATTTGAAATGTTTGCACCACAAAGGGGCTGGGGGGGGGGAGGCTGAAGATGGGCTAAGAAGCAAACAGTCATTTTAATTTTTGAAATGCCATTACTCTTGGGTTAACTAAAGAATCATCGACCTTTTCTTAGGAACTGAAACAGAAGTTTTACATGGTCAGCAAAATTAGGGACGAATAGAGAAGCCCCAGAAACACTGTACATCTTTTACATTATTGAAGGTGGAGGGCGGGGGAACTGAAAAGCACCATGGTAGAATAGATAATACTTATGCTGGATCCAGCTGTATACCTTCTGTGGATATTGTGTATCCCAAATAGTTTAATTTAAGCAGATCAAATGATGATTTTTCCAGCCTGGCAAAGAGCTTGTTTTCCCATAACGTCTGCAGTATATTTCTGATAGGGGTGACAGGCAAGAAGGAATCTT